ATGCAAACAGCTTTTTCCTATTCGTCCGTGGCATCTCATGAGACCTTCTTTGTCCGGTTTTATATTGAGTTGCGTTAACGATTTCAATACTGCTGCTGTACAAAATGTTCTTTGATGGACTTGTATAACAATCTTCCCCGCTATTGCAATTTCTTCTCCATCAAGGTACACATTGTAGCGTCCATTGTACTTTCCAAGCAATGGAGGAAGACGGATGTTGCTCTGTGGTCGTTGATTGACTCTTTTGACTACAATCTTTATGAAGCGTAACATTCTTGCTGTGATCCTTTTGATCGTAGAGAATGGGTGGCCTCTTAAGTCTTCAAAGATGTCAGAGTGTTGCGGATCGACTGCCACTGACACGGCTTGGTTGACGAGTGCCAATTCAGCTGGCAAACTTATGTCGCCGGTCTCCTCAGTCATTTGAAATAACTTGTAATTTGCTAGCCAGGCTTCCGGTGAATCTCTCAAGAAGGGTGGTCCTGTCCACCAGAAGTGGTCCTTGAGTTGTCCTTTACTCAATCCTCTTGTTCCGCAATCTGCTGGGTTCTGTTCAGTAGGAACATAGCCGTAGTAGATCCTAAGACCTTTACTTGTTAGATGATCGTCTATCTCTGTAATCTCTTTCAGTCTATTAAGAATCATCACTCCTGCATCCTTGAGTGGTTTTTTCTTTATCCAGTTGTAAACGATTTCGGAGTCGGAAAAGAGATATACCTTCTCGATTGCGGTAATAACTTGAAGTTGAGTCACAACCGAATTTATCACTCTCATGGCTAAGGTGACGGCATTTAGCTCCTTTTTTGGTACTGTAGCCTCGTATTTAATCGATGGTAGTTTTCCTTTCGCCAACAAGAGACTGGTTGCAGTTTCTGACTTTAGATAGACGCACATGGCTATAGCTTCAGCACTGGCATCAGCAAATGCAGCTAGTTCTACTTTTGCATGCTTCCTGGTCAAAAATCTTGGTATTTCCTTGCTGAATCCTCGCATACTGTCGCATATTTGTTGCCATTTATGTGCACGGTCTCTATCTAACTTGGTATCCCAGTCAATCTTGTCTTTCCAAAGTGACTGAAGAAAGACTTTTGACTTGTGGATCAATGGGAGCATCCAACCCATAGGGTCATAAATAGACGCTATTGCGCTAGTGACTGTCCGTTTGGTAAGCACTTTTGGTGCGATCATGTTGCATGAGACTTCAAGTCGGTCCGTCAAGGAGTTCCAGCGTATTCCCAAAACCTTTGGCGATAGTTCCGACGATCTATCTCTACTTGCAATTCTATTCATCACTTGTTCTTCATTGCTTACAAATTCGCGTAGATTCATGCTGAGTTCTTCGAACATCTGCTTCATTTTCCGGTAACAAGTTGAGGCTTCTTCAACTGTATCTAATGTCACTACCAGGTTATCTACATAAAGATTGTCTTTGATTTCGTCTATCATCTTGTAGCTATCTTTGTATTGATCCAGGTGGTAGTGTGTGGTTGCCGCCAGAAGAAAGGGAGAAGCGTTTAGTCCAAATGGAACTCTTGTAAATCTCAGCATGATGATGTTGCCTTGTGCGGGAGGTGCTGTATAATCTCGGAGCCACAGGCATCTAGTGGCATCGCGATCTTCCTCATGCAATCTTACTTGAAGAAACGCCTTCTCGACATCGGATATCATGGCAATACGTCCGATTCGAAAACGTAACAGTATTCCAAACAATTGCGGCAAGATGACTGGGCCTCTATGTAAGGCATCGTTGAGTGAAAGACTGTTTCTGTAGTGTGCAGAAGCATCGTAAACGACTCTTAATTTTGTGGTCGTCTTCTGTGGAGTAATAACAGCTTGATGAGGCAAAAAGTGTACGTGTTTGCGGTTTTCCTTGTCCTGAGGAACGTATTCAAGGATGTTGCGATTCAGCTGCTCTTGAAACACCTCATTATACCGATCTAGGAGATTTGGGTCTTTCTGAAGACTGTTCCACAAGCTAATAAGTCTTCGTTGAGCTATAGCTTTGTTATCAGGTAGCTCCATGGCGTTCTCTTTCCAAGGTAGACGGACATAGTATCCATCTTCGCGCTTTTCTATCGTCTCTCTGAAATGTTGCAGGACAGCTTTATCTGCTCGAGTTCGCTCGATGTCCTCTGAATGGCAGAATCTTTCTGTACCGGCCGCCTCTAAAGACCAGAACTTCTCCCATTTTTCTTGTTCATGGTCATCATCATTAATGTTTGAAATGGTGTTTACTTGTGTCTCTAAGGTCCAGTAACCGTCCCACTTGTCTGACTCCTCTGTGCCTGAAATTTTCGATGTTTTGACTTGTCCTGATATCAGATATCCCAGTCGTGACTCGATTAAGTGAAGACCGGAGGGTAGGTTGATATGGGGTTTATCTTCTTTGATGAAAGACCATAACTTGTCACACCCCAACAGGATTTGTGGCTTCATATACTTCTTGCTTTCGAGCATTTCAAGTGGGATATGCTTCTCGCGCAAGTGGGCGATATCTTCGTCGATTAGCGAAGGACTTTCGAAGGATTTGGATATCACATCGTACGTGAAGAGCTCCAATGTGATTTGCTCTCCGTCTAGGTCCCAGGCTTCAAGTTCTACTTTACGACACAGATTCTCTTTGACTTGTTCTGATCCGAACGTTCTCAGGCGTAGTCTGGTCGACCCCAGTGTTCGCAGATGCAATTCTTCAGCGAGTTTACTGTCAATGAAGGATAATTCTGCGCCTGTGTCTAACAAGACAGCGATTCTGCGTAAATTTTTCGTTTTTGGATCTACTACTTGGATTACACCTGTTGGTAAGTACGTGTCGTTCGCTCCGTCTGCTTCTTTTGTTGTTTGAAGTTCACAGATCGCCACATCATCCTCTTCCTCAACCTGCCTTATTACTTGATGTACGTTTGAGGACGCCAATGGAGTAGACTTGTGTTGGCGGCCCTGGAAGCCCTTCGTTTCTTTTTGTGTTACCTCCTTCTGTTGTCGGGTCGATACCGTTTGGTTTCTCCCCACTTGTGCGCCTTTAAAACAGCAGGATGTGTGATGAGCACCTTGGCAGTTGAAGCATAAACGTTTCTTGCATTCTGCTGTAGTATGACGCGGAGATGCACAGATGAAGCATAGTTTATGATCTCGGAGGTACTGCGATCGAGCTTGTGGTGTGGCGTACTTAGTGCACGTCATAGACTTATGTTCTTCTTTGCAGTACATGCAAATTCGTTTGAAAGCTTCCGTTTTCTTCTTTGAAGGCGAGGAATTGTATGTTACATTTGCTTCTTTTGTGAACGCTTGTACTTTTTCTTCTGTTGTGATGAACTCTTCAATCATCTTGAGTAGGGTCTCCATGTTAAAGGCGACTCCATTATGTGCGTACTTGTTTTCTAGCACTTTCCTTTGCAACTTGTTTGGGAACTTTGAAAGAACTTGTTTGATGACCCATTGGTTATCTACGTATTCTTCCTTATCCTTAAGTTGCGCAATTATGGCTTGGATATGTTCCAGTAAAGTACGCTGTTCTTTGACTGAAACTGCACTCAATTGAAGCTTCTGCAGTCTATCATAGAGGCGGTTGACTAACTCCTCCTTATCTTCATACTTGTTTTTCAAGAACTCTATAGCTCTGCTATAGTTGTCCGATGACACGCGAAATTTCTTGACTGCGTGATGAGGTTCTCCCTTTAGTGAATTTAGCAGATAGTTGAACTTGTACAAATCTGGCATTGGTTGGGAATTCACATTCGTATCGAACAATGTCCAGAAGTTGTCCCACTCCCAGATATCTCCATTGAATGTTGGTATTGGGAGAGTTGGTAACTCTACCCTTCTGGTTCCAATGGCGCTATCCACTGTTGTATTACTTGTGTCTCTCGTTGGATGCGGGGGAGTCTTATTGTAAGAAATAAAGGTGTTCAGTCGTGCCTCCAAAAGAATCGTGTAATCCAGTGAGGAGCATAGCATCGTTTCCGCTCTACTTGTGTATTCGTCGAAATCTTCTCTTTCTTTTTCACCTAACTGATCGGAGCTATCTATGGTTGTTGCATAGTCTCGCATCAGTTGTTGTATCCTAGTGTTGCAGGCTTCGATAGCCCCTATCGCTCCTTCTAAGCGTCTTCGAGATTCTCTCAGAAGTATGGGTGATGACTCTTCTGCAGGAAGCTCCACTGTCTCGAGTTTTTCTTCTTTAAAATGCGCTATGACCGTCTCTAGCTTGTTGCAGTATCGCGATAAAAGGCGTTTGTACGTCGGTAATTGTGTCGACATCTTTCGCGATAGCCTGGCTACTTGTGCTCAAAGGTGAAGCAGGAACAACTTGTGCTAAACTTTGAGCTAAAGGAGTCGATCGAAGAATATGGTGAATGCGTGCCAATATTCAAAATGCAGATCGACTTGATTTGGATGTTGTGAGGAATGAGGATTCGCAACTGTGATGCGCAACAAGCAGCTGGTAGCACTTGTAGAAGAAGCTAATTTGCAGGAACAGTGTAAAGACTTGTTAATTTGGAACTCGGTTTCGACTAACCTAGTACCAGTTGTGGGCCTGCTACCGTTGAGCCGATGCACCAAATCTGTAGGAGAGATTGATCTTTGAATGACAGTTGCCACGCGGGTTGTGTTTAGCGTGTAGTATTACCTCAAAAGTGGTAATCAACGTTTATTAGGAGCAGTACACAGTAGTTTGTTCGATACAAGAGAAGTGAGAGAGTGAAGTGCCCCAGAGATTTGTCAACTCAGTTGCTTCTCAGGAACTACTTGTGGACTAATCCTTTAAGACTTCTTAAGTAACTGGATACTTGTCGTGTGGATCTAGTCCTACTCCTAGAATACTTCTGAAGAGACTTCTCGGCACTGGAAACTACTTGTTCTCACCCCAGGAGCTAACCCCCCAACTTATGGAGAGACTTGTCGAAGACTGCTCGACCTTACTCACTGAACGGTATTTATACTCTCTGGATAAATGAACTTGTGTTAACAAGTCAATGTTGGAGTAATGATTAACTGACATGTTATCGCTTGACATGTATGTACTTGTCTGGTGAGCTGCTTCCGTTGCGGGGCACTGTTCCTGTATTAAAGTTTATAAACAAAATCAACACAAGGATAAACATAAACATAAACAGAACATCAACAAAACATCATAGTATGAATTGGAGGTCGCCTTTGGCGACAAAGCGTATGTATGAAGAGTGTGGACCAGCATTATCGTTTGCTTACCGTAAGCGTGAAAGCTCTACAAGCATAATTGATAACATATTCGTTTTCATGTTAAATAACCCTGTGGGCCAAGAGTCTTAGCGGATTTTGGGGGTTCCTGATATTGGGCCATCCAAGTAAAGTGGCCATTTTCGAACACGCATCTCAAAAGTGAACCAACTACCTCATCTTGTACTCAATACTCTACTCTCCATTTACCTAAAACATAAATCCTACTTTGAATAATCGTCAAGCTGTGGGATTAGGCTTAGGTTTCATCTGTTCCAAGATTTCATCTTGGGACAGATGAAACCTTCATTTTTTTAGCTTAAAGTTGTGCTTCCACCAGCTATTATGCGAACGAAAAAAAAACGAATTCAACTCCAATTGTTCGTACAAAAAACTGCAAGATTTTGGCTATCGAACTGTATATAACATGCAAGGCTCGGCATGAGGTGGCTTTTTCATTTTTCAAAAACGAAGCCCCTGCAGACTTCGCTACAAAGAACGACATCACCTATGACACGATCTTGAATGGATCAAACGGGAATGACAAAAAATAACAAAACAAAACTTAAAAACAGCATCGAACAGAAAAAGAAGAACTAATTAACTTCGTATTCTCCGATTTGGCGGCATGCTGTGCCCGGCGCCCACCATTGTGCCCTTGGAGTAGGCTTGCCGCCGTCATACAAAATATGTGGAGGGCTCTAACTAGGTGAGGAGAAGGGGGTTTGAAGAGATTTAAGTACCCAGTTGTAGGATTCTTTATGTACAACAAAGCTATGTTGAAGTTGTGAAAAAATTATGTGAAGGAAGAAAAATATATGACTTTTTTCTTTTGCAGCCACCTCAGGTGGCTGTCCAGGTGGCTGGAAAGCCACCTAACTCCGAAAAAAGTTTGCCACGCCTTCGGTTCACATAATTTCTCTTAATTTTTTGCACATAATCCTAAATCCCTGTCGCCCATCTACACACCTCTTATTGTTAGCTGTTAACGAGGCCTTTTATTTCGGGCACGCTTTTTGAATTCGCGCGCTTAACTGATGAACCTGTTAAAAAAGGATTTTTTTGCAGAAATGGGATCGATAAGGCAGGAATGACAATCTTCCTCCTCTATTGAAGATGAAAGGTGACATAAGAGGGAGAAGGTGATCGGAGGGAGGGGGGGGGGGAGGAAGGACTGAGATTTCCGCTCAAACGAAATCCTCCTTGCCTTTTACACCAAGACGATATCCAGCATGCCCCGCAAGCCACCTTGCCGAGCCCTGATAACAAGTTCGCTAAAATTCCCTTTGGAGGTAAATTAATGGGGTGCGGCACAATCTCAGAAAAGCTGTGGCTGCCAACCTTTTTAGGGGTTGTGGCACACCTCGTTAACTTACCTTCGAAGCATTCAAAAATCGGTGTTTTCTACATCGTTGCCACGGCTAGGCCGTCTTCCCTACACAGCAGATATTCCACTCAAAATCATTTCTCTTAGGAGATATAGCCATTCTTCCTTCCCGTGTAAGTGGAAAATACTGCGAAAATATTAGGTTACGGTGCATGCTAAGTCTGCGCTACCACGTGAATTGCGAAGGATGGCGGCGGAATAAATCTAATCGATAGCCCAAACTTGGGGTAGAGTTCATTAGGTCGCCATTAGACCCCACCCAGGGCGCGGCACAGATCGTCTGGAAGCAGGCTGCACTTCGCTTTTGGAGCAAAAAACAAAGGAGATATCGTTTTTGACGAATAGGGCCGACATCAAGAATAAGCGCCATTTAGTCGAACCAAGCTTTTAAGACAGGTGTTATCACACGATTGACATGCTCCATCATGTATGTAGGAAAGTGCGCGCGATTTGAAAGCAACGCTAAAATAAACAAATAACTTGTTTACAGCGCACACAGAACCACATGACACCAAAATTGAACTGTATCATAGAAGATTATTTGCAAAAGATATATAGAGAATTATTTGCAAAAGAATTATGCAAAAAGATTTAAAGACTTAGTTAAGTACTACCTGCGATCTGAGATCGTCTGGAGCATATATTTCTGTTACTTCACGTAAGTTTTGGATTTTTCTGCCATGACGGGTTCCCCGGTCAAAAATCTATCCCTGAGCGTCGACATTTTCATATCATTGCCTTTCGTTCGTTTTTTGCCTTGATTTCTTCATAAATCGATCTGTTAAATATCCCGCTCCAATGCCAAACTCTTGTGCATGCGTAGTATTTACAAGGGAGTCCGAACTCGAAGTGGCCAATCCATACAAGCTGCATACCATTCGATGCAGAATAAAATAGTGATTTTAAATCTGTCTTTCTTTTCTGCAGAATGCCTTTGCCTGGACCAAGTTATGAGCAGCTTTACTGCGAAATATCGTACATAAAAATTGCGAAATTAGGCACATCACTGCCATTTTAGCCCACCTCTAGGTACGGGCCATATGAAGTGACCTAGTTGCATGTTTTGGTCCAACAGGGGCCGAGAATGATTTTGCACGGCTCTATTGCCCTTTACACGCACAATTTCTTAGCAAAATAATGGCCATTAACGGCTTATAATTTCGTCCACAAAAGCGTTCTGCGGATAACGAAGACAGATTTAGAGTCAGTGATTTATGCTGCATCTAATGGTATGAAGTTTGCTTGAAATGGCCACTTCGATTTCTGACCATTCCCTTGTCACCTCCAATCTGGATTTTCACTCTTATCTCATATTTTCTTTCAACCTAGTAAATCTTTCTTGTTTTCATCTTTTCCTAAGTAGGTAGGTCAAAGGAGACTTCGTGTAACTTTCGAAATTCGGGAGAGACTTAGTTTTCACAAAACCCAGAAACCGACTTGTGCCGGGCCCTGATTCACCCACGCGTTCAGCTAGCATGGGCTAATCATGTGTACAGTAAGTTTCACCTCAGTTTAGGTGGAAATTGGACTGGCGGGAGTCCGCTTCGCAACGATTCGCGCCGCTTTGCAGTCTGCGTCTCTTCATTCCAATCTATTTCGCTGAGCCAGTGGCGGTGCGGACGCGCTGTTCCACTTGAATGTTTCGCCTACTCCGGGTTGAAAAGGACTGTAGAGGCGCGCGTTTGTTGCAATGTCCGTGCAGGACCTCCCCTTGACCTAATGTCCCTACGCCTAGACCTCGTAATCTTCCGAAGTGATTTGAGCCTAATTGTTCTTCTCTAGTTGATACTGAAAGCGAAAATACAACAAACAAGATTTTGGCTTGCTCATAATTCCATAGTTTGATTTGGAGTGGGATTCCTAATGAGACAGAAGTAGTAGTTCTCCATATTGAGTACAAAAAGAGATAGTTAACGCACCTCCGAAACGAAGTTAACATGTTTGAAAATGATCTCACTTGAGTGGGATAGCAATATTTGAAAATCTCAGAATTCGCTGAAACTTGGCTCAGAGATTACCTGATATGCTAGTTGCAAGAGTGATGCTCCTATGCTTTTAGGGCTCTTCTATTATGCTTACTGTGCGTATACGATGGTAAACATTGATGTGCTAGTATTTTGCGTAATGGGCTATCCGACATATTGACGAATATCGTTATCGCTAACATCATATCACTTCGATAACAATCACTCCCCCCGCTGACCCCTCAATACGACCCCAGGTCTGGCATGCCACACACGCTTGAACTCGATAATCATGTTTATTTTTCCAGTATCCTTCAAAAAACTCAAAAATCCACCTCCGTGTCCATCATGCTCTATGACGACAGGGCCAGTCAAGTGATAGTGGTTAAAGTGTATGCACTCATAATCTATCACCTCAGCATCTCCTGGACAAATTCAGTTTTTAAAATATTGAATAAAAAATGTGGAAATTTGAATTTTCTTAACTGAAAGATTATGTTATCTAAGAATTTAGAACAAGTTCCCTCTCTTCATTACTCACAGGTAAATGTCCAACATAAATTTATTTATAAGATAAGTTTCATAATTTGCTCAAAATTTTTTTTGGAAGTCAATCTACACTCTCTTCTCTAACCTAGGAGTCCCGGAGGGGGTCTAAAATCAAAACTTCGTCAAAGAGAAGGGGCGAAGCAAAAACTTATAGAGTTTTCTCCATATTAGAAGAGGTGTTTTCGAGATGATTCTTATTTTGGACGGAATGAAATTTGAGGTTTCATTCTAAACAAATGAAATCTTTGTTTCTGACAAGGGAAGGATACTCGGTCAAAGTGGCCTTTCCACATGAAATGTATATTATTTCTAAAGCATTGAACGCTCTGATTCCAACTCTGCTTTCGCTATCTTCAAAGCGTTTCTGGGAGACGAGTTATGGGAATTTTTGAGGCAAAAATTTGAACGCGCGGCTGCAATAAATCATGCAGAACTCCAGTCTGTGAGCTCAAACTAGCCACGATTACTGTCAGGACGCTTTATGCAGTCAATACTTTCCATCGAATAAACTTATGCTAATCATTACTCTTTTCAAACGTCGAAAAGTTATGTACACTTGTTTTTACCTTGGCCAAACCATTGGATATTTCACTCAAAAAATTACTATAACTTCCCTCCCAGAAGCGCTTTGCAGATAATAAAAACAGACTTGGAATCAGCGTTTTTTGTTCTATAAGACAATATACATTTCACATGAAAACGTCACTTCGACCAAGTATCCTTCCCTTGTGAGACAAAATCAAAAATCAGTACATTGATATTCTTGAGGTAGTTTCAATGAAAAAATTATTGAATGTTGGAGAATGTAAGATAAACTAACCCAGCACATGATCCACTAATGATTGACTGCGCCCCAGTGAACATATTCCACCCCAATGACGATTGTCAACATAACGCCAAGTTTTTCCCCTCCTTGACAAAACGGTACCACGATCCATAATTGACTTGAAATTAAGGTAAATGTTCTTTGAAATTATGAGACTAGTTTTCTATTCTGTAGGAAGGGAAAAAATATTCTGACATGTTTTTTCCAAAAAACATTTTTCGTTTAGAGCTGCCCTTTTTGTAGCGACACAATCAAAACTAAGCTATCCTTAAATTTTGCGTACACGTAAGGATACGATAAAAAATAGCTGAAGGTTGATTGGAAACAGAAAAGGGAATTGAATAGTGCAATGCCATAAAAAGGCACAGAACAGAACTTACTTTGAACCATAATAGTGTTAATTAAATGCGCAAGAATCGGCTTAACGCATTACGAATCCTCGAGCTCTCTTGTGTGGCATGAAACAATTCGATAGATCAAAGTTGGTTAAGATCAGAAGTCAAACTATATCCAATTTCTACAAGCGAATATCATGACTTACGATAAAGCGCTAAGCGTATGTCTGCTTGTTATGTGTTTATGTCTGTCTGTCACGAAATGCATAGCGCGAGTTGTATGCAGATGTTGAGCTGAAATTTTGGGAATAGCACCCTATTAGCATGTGAACTATGCAAAAGCATAAGGCGATCCGATGATTGGAACCTTTAAAAATTGCGCGTCAAACATGTCCACGCGACTTTTGGCCCACCTAAGTTGATCAATGGTTGCACTTTTTGCGAAGTTGTTGATTTCAACAAGTAAATGCGCAGACCATGGTCTTAAGCCCAAAAAGTGAGCAAAATGTTTATTTTTACGCAAAAACAGCGCCAAAAAGGAGTAATTGCGTAGATCATCAATTTGTCAAAGTTTTACCTAATTATTTGTGAAGATTTCTACCTAGAAATGTAGGTGACGGAAGTGACTATCTTATGGAAACTACCCAACCAAAATAACTTCAGCAACTGACCAAAAATCTCTTTTAACCTTCTACACAAGGATTTCCTGCTCCCAAAGTTACCGTTCCTACAAGAAAAAGCTCATGAAATGTGTAATTGTTTACAATTCGTTTATGACGATCAGCATCACACCTGAGTTCCACACCCAACATCATGGGAGCAAGAGGAGGCATATAGATGAAAGAGCCAGTTGCAAGCCTCTGTGAAGCAGGGGTGAGGCACTGATATCAAATTATCAAGTTTACGCTACAAAGTGTATAACAATATCAGAAATGAAGCAAGTTTACCGTCAGTTCTAACAAAAATGGATGCTTAATTCTTGCCCCAAAAACACTTGAGCTCATTCAGAAATGCGTAAATAAACTGGAAATTTCTTACCCTATGCACTTCTATGTATATCAAATGTAGCATTTTTTACACATTCTACGAATTATTTCGAGACGAAATCATAAAACTGAATACAAAAATCCGAACTATACCGACAGTCTACAGCATAGGATGAATGAAAGGTTCATCTCCTGACTAAGCGTAAAACTTCTTTCTTGGAAAAAATTCATTAATATGGAAAATACAACGGCAAAACTCAACACGATGGATTGGCGATGGATGGCTTCCTAGCTGTAAACTTGTGCGCAACACAGGGTGTCCCAAATAATGTGCCTATTATTTGATTGTCAGTAAAACTCTCTTGTAATGAAGTCTTTTGAGAAGCTTTAGATACGTTTTGTAGAGCTAGCTTCAACTTAGATTTGAGGTATGGAGCGGATTACCACCCTGCTCTCCGTTACTGTAGGATTAGGGCAGAAAGTTTAAAGAGGGTTTTGAGCTTGAAAGGCCACGTTTCGCCTCGGAAGAGAAACAAAACAGCCTAAAACTCCCAAGCTGAGCTAGTTAGAGTTGCTTATTCTAAATAACAAGTACGCAACTTATAATAACGCTTCATTAAAAAGTTTGCGAGATAAGCGTTGGCGGCCGTTTTTCCAATGTTCGTTAAAAGCGGGGTTACAACATTTAGAAAGCTTCGCAACCTTGTACGTAGTTGAGTATTGAACTCAGCGTCAATAAATATGTTAGTACACAATCACATTATTTCGGAAATTTCTGGAATGACACTTTTTTCACAGTGACACCATATGCTTGAAGTTGCTACCATAATCCTATAGAAATGAAAAGCAATTGGTGGTTCGTATACTGTAAATCTAAGTTGAAGCCAGCTCTACAAAACGGTCACTGAAGCTTCTTGAAATACTTCGTCACAATAGAGTTATTGACAATCAAACAGTAGGCACATTTTTTTGGGACACCGTGTATACAATACCACTCTCAGAATGTGCAAAATTTCCGTGAATGTAATTGAAGTATAAGAATGACGAGAAGAGAGTCATCAACCAGACATCACGATTTCAGGGGGGAGAAAATAGAAAGGCACAGTAGGATGCCAAACTAATGACGTAGATGTCAGCAAAAATGAATATTATTGCTAAATTATGAGTAATCATTCAAAATAATTATCTGGAAATAAAAGGCCGTAAAGGTTATGAATCAATCATGTTGACGGAAACGTCCAATTATGTGTTGACTGCCTCCAGTACATTCATAGAGAATTCCCCTCTTTCTCTTTTTCTCTTCTTGGCTATTTCTAATAATAAACATGAATGATGTGAAATGACAAAATTGGTTTATGTTTCAGCAAAAGTTTCGAATACTTAAGCCTATATATGCAGCGCGGAATGAAGCTGTATATCATTCATTCATTGCTCTCTAAGCATTCTATCCATAGGTTTAGAATATAACCTTCGATTCAACTAGCTTGGTTCCCGGAAGGCGGGGCCTTGTGACCTAACTGAGGACGCTCGCGCCCGCGACGATTGCGTCTCTCTCGCGAGCTTGCTTTCTGGTCATTATCTAGCCTCAACTAGGTCGCGAAGTCCCGCCTTCCAGGCACCAAGCCAGTTGAATCAAAGGATAAGTCTTGCACCAATTATTCCGAAACTTTCATTTGGGAAGTTTGAATTTGCAATTTTTTCCTTGTTCATGATATGTATGGTATTTCATTACATATATCAGAAAATTATAGTGCAAGATCAATTTGAAAAAAAAATGGAAATCAGAACTGTGTAGAAACTTCGAATCAGTAAAAATCCGTTCACTTGCGAATACCAAGTTATAAAACCTAAATGAAAAGTGAAATTCGGAATTCTGATCCCTTTTAGTATTGGTGACCGACTACAAAAATTTTTTCATTTGAGCGTATGCGTTTCTCTGCTTTCATGGAAGGGACATGGCAACTTCAAGCGCTATGATCGTTGATGCAAAATTATTGCACCAAAAAATGGAGGAATTTAGTTTTAAAGAAGTTTGAACGAACTAAACAGTTTACACAGTATGTCTTTGCTATCTATATCAAAAGTAGTATATTACACTGCGTTTTAGAAAATCAATACAAAACAAAATTACTGAGTCGTTTTGAGCTCGAAAATCATAACTACAGTACCCACACTAATTATTCGACAGAAAACGCAAAAACTGCGATCCACGTTTTTTTTCGTTTTTTCTTCATAACTTCCTTCAGATTGTATAAATGAATCCGAAGAAAGCATGACGTTAAGCTCGTCTGAATCTCTTCATATATCACATTCTCTTACTATTCCGTTTTCAGTCTGCTCGATTTTTGTGTGAGGACGGGTTTTCGTAGTGATGTAACTCAGCGCAAAACACACCTAAAAGATTCTAGTAAACACACTTCGGTAGACGTGTCTTCGTAGATTACAACGCGCTGGCGATTCGGAGGATCCCTTTTTCATAGAGCAAGACAGGCCGGTGAATTTTGAAAAAATCGATGTCTTTGAGATTTCAGCTACCGTAACCATGCAGTAAGAAGCTAATTTGCAAAGCAGGTGTATTTTCCGTGATCAGCAGGCTGGATAACCCTTATGCGCAAGTTTTCCGAGGAATTCGGGCCCTTTGATTTTTCCTCGTTCTAGGCGTTGAAGCTCGGCGACAGGATTTGGTTAAAATATTGATGACCCTGGTCTGACCGGAAACTTCGACCATAAAAGTTTTCGAGCCAGCTGATTACGAAAACGCTGCTCTTTGTGCACCGTAAGTTCTTTTAGCAGGGTTATGCTGAGAGGGATGTTGCGATACTACGCAGGTTCCTAAATTTGCTTGGCCTTTTCGCGTAACTAATGGACAACTTACCTGCTCCTTTTTGTAATTTCAAATCACCAGAGACAGTTCTGTCAGAGCATGCTTAAGCTAAGCCTTTATCTGTAATGATCGGCGAATGTGAGATTGCGAACTCACGTCTTCATGAAAATCGTTAAGAATCTTAGGATCGCACATATTGACCAAATATCGCCGCGAATGGTCACAAATCACTCTGATTGCAGTATTACGTTTATATAGATATGTAGACAGATAATTCTAATACAGCATACTTGCTTAGCCTCTGTGCTAACTCTTACAACAGTAGCTCAAAGTTTGCAAAAAGAACGATAGAGTCGGTAAAGGCAACTACTTTCGAAAATTAATATTGTATCCGTAATCAGCACCCCACTCATCCATTATACTAATTCCCAGTTCCGGTCATTCCAGGATCATCAATATTTTAACCAAATCCCGTCGCCGAGCTTGAGCGCCTAGAACGAGAAAAAATCAAAGGGCCCGAATTCAAAACTTGCGTAGGGGTTATTCAGCCTGCTGATCACGGAAAATACACCTGCTTTGTAAATTAGCTTCTTACTGTATGGTTACGGTAGCTAGAATCTCAGAACATCGATTTTTTCAAAATTCGCCGGCCTATCTTGCTCTATGGAAAAGGGATCCTCCGACAATCGCCAGCGCGTTGTAATCTACGAAGACAGGTCTACCGAACTGTGTTTACTAGGATCTTCCAGGTGTGTTTTGCGCTGAGTTACATCACTACGAAAACCCGTCCTCACACAAAAATCGAGCAGACTGAAAACGGAATAGTAGAGAATGTGATATATGAAGAAATTCACTTTGACGAGCTTAACGTCATGCTTTCTTCGGCTTCATTTATACAATCTGAAGGAAGTTGTGAAGAGAAGACGAAAAAAAAGTGGGTCGTCAGTTTTTGCGTTTTCTGTCGAATGTCTGGGTACTGTATTCGTGGAGACACTAATCGATACCAATTTTCCTTAGTTAAAAGGAGTAGATCATAAAACCAAGACTAAAAATAAATTCAAATCTCAATAGACATTCAAGCAATTTTAGCGACCAAAAATCGAAAAATTAGTTTCTGGGTAACTCTGATCAGCTTCTATCGTTGCCATACGCCATCAATGAATTTTTTTCAAGCACATGCAAAAAGCGCAAAATTTCCTCTCTCTACTACTTATCAAAGCAAAAGATTTCATCAAAATTGGAGAAAATAACAGAATTTCAAAAATTTTGGTGCAAGAATTATGCATCAGCTTAATAGAAAGCTAATGAGGTCTTCCCTCAAAGTTTATTAGTTCTTTACAAACTTATCAAAGGAGTAAGTGACAAGTTTCACATATTTGGTGCAAGACCCTTATTCCAACCTGCACAACTGCACAATTTTTCTTTGCAGGAACTACTCCCATTCCAGGGTTTTCTGCTGGAATAAACATGAAACTTTTTCTGATAATGGCATTCGTCTCATTCCTTACAACAACGTGCTTTCAACATTACTTCTACCTTTGCAAGGGCCTTCTCATTAATTTCGAGCGCCCACTGTCGGATTTAACATCTACTGGAGAAAGCTTATATAGTGTCGGTGAAAACCTTTGCGCTGAAAAAAATTTTCATCGTTTTTTTTTCAGAAAATGATGCTTGAGTGTCGAGCAAACGATTCTTCACGTTGCCTCCCGATTTTTTGTGATACCTTTGTACCAACAGTTATTGTGGACAAGCAATTCAGGGAATATTTGAACGTAGACATAAAATTTGATGTGATGTAGCAACAGGTTTCAAAAACTTACTCGAATTAGGTCACGGACTCCCAGGAAAGGATCCACGGAATGGTTAGGTATTGCTCCGATTTCCACGAAAAAATGGACGATGACGAGCTCCAAACTAAAGCAAAACGTCTCCTTTATGGTAAAAGTTTTTTTTGCTGGTGTTTGGCATTTCGGATGAGTTCGCTATGCACCGTTTGGGAGAGGGTGCCTGTATATTTTGAAAAATCAATGATTTTTGAGACTTTTATAATAGAAAATGTCAGAAATCCAATAATTAACCAAGTAATCGATATTTTCGACATTTTAGATTTTCCCTGTTACTGAAAACGAATAAGTATCATTCAGTTTCTTACAGTTCGATTCTATTTAGAAAATGCCCTGGCGATTCTTTAGAAAAAAGATGTGAACATTTTTTCAAAAACCAACAGTCTAGCAAAACAAGGGAAATTTCCTTAAAGGAAAGAATTAAATATCCTTTATTGTCATAGCTTGCGACATAAAGGAGGTTAAAATACGCTTTGAAGCAGTGGAGGACCGAGGGGGGAGGGGCGGGGGGGGGGGCCGCGCGAGAATGGGTCGCGAAATTTTTGAAATTTACTTATATGGGTTATAAAAATGCACAAGCGACTTGTTTGTACTTGTAAAAAATTAAAATATTTTTTAAAATTTTCAAAAATGTAAAATATAAAATGTCTTGTAAACAATTGAAATATCGGGGGCGTAGCTGACGCCACGCCCCCTTTTTCTAGATATCAAGGGTTGGGGACCCGCGAAAATTTTGAGATCTTCGCAGCCCAGATCGAGAGAGCCTTCCAGAGCAAAGAAATTTCGCACGTTGTTGAATTTTTTTCAATGCAATAGCCCCGCTTTTACTTTGATTAAAACGCCTTAACCAGAAATTCTTTTTGAAAAATCCAAAGTCACTTCATTTGCACTGATCCAATATCCGTTCCTAGAATACCACTTAAAAAGCTGATGGGTTCTAAACCATATATAGCACAAATATGGTAGACCAGCCGCTCTGCTGCCGCTACGCGTCATTAAAGCTGGCATAAAGTGTTAAAAAGTCGCTAACTCGATATAAGCGCTCAAAAAGGGAAGTGAGAAGATTTTTCACTCATAATAAAACGCTCACCCACCCCTCGTCAATTTTTGCCAAACTGTTGATCGCAAAAATCAGTAAATCAATAAAGTCAGTCAATATTGTGAAAATAGCTTATTGATATTCCTTTTACCCTGAACTTTATACTGAAGTATGGCTTAGAACTCACAATTCTTTAAACGTTTTAGGCCAGTTATAACAAAAATGTTGAGCAAAATACGCGAAAAATGAATCGATCAAGCCAATCAATAATTTTTGGCAGCAATTGCTCATTGACATACCTTTCGCTCCAATGTTCATGGAAGTTTTGGCTAGATCCTTCAATTTCTTCCATCATTTCAGGCCATTCTAAAAAAAAGTTCAATGCAGATATCATATAGGTATTGATTACCCGTAAAACCTAAGCACCTCATTTCATATGTGCTATATGGTGCTTCATAAAAATGTTGCTTATCTCGAGGCCAAACATCTTTATGTTGCATCTTCATGCGCTTTCGTTGAAAAAGTAAACCTGGCTGAAAAAATAACAATAATAAGTAATCCCTCAGAAGAAAATATCTTAAGATGTTAGACATTTGCAATCTGCTTGACGCATGTGTGACCAACCACGGCGTATTGTGGCCTTTAGAGAAAATTTTCTGGGCTCGAATAGTCCCACAAAATTCTTCCGAAAGCCTCTGATAGTAGATTTACTCTGGAACGTAAAAGATACCTCATACTTTGCTTAGTGTATAGCTAGTGGCTAGTTGATTAAAGAGGCAGTAACTTGGGAATATTGCAACTGCGCGCTTTCTGTTCCTCCTTGGCCTTCTGGATGCCTTTAGACCAGAGCTGTGCTTGAAAAGTTAAAAAAGTGCTAGTTTTATGGCGTTCTCCGATCTTATAGATTGCAGAGGAGGCTTGAGCGGAGATTCCCGCAGCCGAGTCGCGAGTGGCTGCCTAGACCAATCAGCCAATTACCTCCAAAATGGGTGGAGTTACAGTCTCCTGCAGCCAATCACTGTTTTTGGCGGGATTTTCCGCTCCTGCCTCCTCAGCAATCTCCAAGGCCAGAAAATGCCATAAAAAGCATTTTTTTGACTTTTCAAAGACAGTTCTGGTCTGAATGCATCCGGAAGGCCAAGAAGGAAAGCGCGCAGTTGCAATTTTCGCGCCTTTAAGCATGCTCTCGGGCTCAGAAATCGCGATAAAGTCTGGCCCTTCTTAAGAAAGAAAATCCTGTTTATATTTAGAATTTTCTTCGCTAAGAGGAAGAAAATGTGTTGTTTTCCAGGGAGCCGAGCAGAAGTGAGGCATCAGTCTGCTACATCTAGGACACGAGCACCAATCGCTTATCTGGCATCTGCACTTTTAATTACTATTAACCTATGAGCCTTACGATTTTTTCATCTCTTCTCTTGAACCTAATCATTGGATATCTGTTCAATAGCTCGTAATTTTGAATTTCAACACGTTGCCGCTCATGAAGATCAGTCTATTTGATCCCGCATAATCTCAAGCTGTTTCTATAATTCCAAGCTATCGCAAGTTTGACACTACTTCCTTTCGACCATCTTCTCCAGCCAAAGTGAAATTATAGTTTACTCAAGAATTACTTCTTTGCTCACAGTGGGTCCTGCAGTAAATGAAAAAGTTTGGCGAGAAAAACTCATTAATACAGCAGCTACATAGCAGAAAAATCAGACAGATAGGATATCTTATCTCGGGTTTGTTCTTACTTTTAGAAATCTTATTATGAGCTAGCCTCTTGCAGAAGTTATTGTAACGGTAACTTAGAATTAGGGATGTTAGTCCAAAATAGTCAGAGTGGTGTAGTTGACTCTGGTAACATTTCGACTTCAGTTTTGAATTGACCGAATTGAGCAAGGAGAGAAGTTTTGCTATCAAAATACACAGCTCATACAATGTCTCGAAAAATTTGAAACGATTAATGGCGGATCACCAATTGGAAAACCCCTTCTTTGTTCATTTTTAAGAAGCAATTTTCCTTCGCGGTGATCATCTATCTATAGTACTCTGACAGATTACGATATGTGACGGATGAACGTTCATGTTTCTTGAAAGCATAACGCTGTAAAACTGGTTATATCACTCATGTTTATGGCACAATCTAGTTATTTGATGACCGTTATATAGTGCACTTATAAGATGTCAAAGAAACTTTTCTTAGAATGTAGTTCAGACAGTTAATAAACTAATGATGCGATGTTAGCGTTGTTATACTTGAGCAGATGATTTGAATGCACAACCATCATATATAGACGGCGAAATGCTGTTATAGTTCATTGTTTTCTAAACATTCTATCTTAGATTAAACTACAATTCCTGCACAAAAAATCCTAAACATTCTTGCTTTGTTGACCCCATGCAGCTTATTGTTAGTATTCTTTGTTGCTTAACGTTTAGTATTATTACATCAGAAATTCATTGAGAAGACAATTTTAGAAATAATATGAAATCCACAAATTTTCGTGAAGGGCATCCGATTGGTACAAATCATAGGTTGTACAAGTAAACTCCTTTTTCAAATACATCAAGGTTTCTGTTTTCCTAGCAGGCTTGGCGCAACCTTCGATACAGCAAAACCTCTACAAAACAACCATCAAAGATCCGCCTAAGTCGTAATCCAAGTATTGGAGCCAAAAATTTTTCAACTTCCTTAAAAATCGGATCTCCTTCCAGAAAATTCTTACGGGCCACCAGTGTTCACTATACAGTATAGACGCATAGTAATACAATTTGTTCACATACACATATGTAATAGTATCCAAAAAATATATCTGGATGATTTTTCTAGGAGCTCAAAATCGAGAAATAAAAATAGCCCGATAATGCAAAAGTGTTATTTTTTTGACTTTTCTATGTTAAACTTGGTATTTTTCGATTACCAAGGCGCATACATAGGTACAATGTTAAGGTGTAGTTACTAAGGCTTGTAGTATATAGTGACATATATGGGAGATGCTATGGGCGGGGTTTGCCATTTTTAACATATCTTTTTCTCTCTTTCGAAAAAATTCTGTAAAGACATATTAGAATACTACTATGTGTCTCTTGCATAATGACCAGAAAGTCCTCAGGATTTTTTTTTGCCAAAATCATCCAGTATTCAGGTGATAAAATTTTTCCATTACAGCTTAGGCGGACCTTTAGTGGCCATTTTGTAGAGCTTGCTTTGCTCTATTGAATGATACCCTACATCTGCTAGGAAATGGAAAACAGCTTGATCTATCTATTAGGTCGGTAAGAAAGTTTTCGGGCATTTCCACGCGAAAATTGCTATTTCTCGAGTTGTAATGCATTTACGAGCGCGAAAATTTGTAGTTGCACTCTCACATACACGCGGCTTATAAAGTGCGGTTCATAATTATACGAACACCCATAATTTTGTAAGTTTTCGGACTTTTTGGGAGAAACTCAAAAAGCCGTTGGTACTACGCGATAGAACACAGCCGAAAACGATATATGATCCTTAAGAATGGAAATTGATGTCAATCTTAGAAGTGTTTTTGCGCCTAATGCGAATTTTTAGCGGTTCATAATTATACGAACACCTCAAACAAAGGTCCATTTTTCATTCAAGATTGCAATCATTTGAGTCCAAATTTTTTGTGGAGTTACGGTAACAAAGTCTGACATATCTGCTACACACTGAACCCAGTGCAGTTCGAAAAGAGGACCGTTACTTTTTTCAGAAGGCTCTAAATGCTTTCGGAGTGAATGCGCTCCAAAAACATCCGTTCTTCTGTGGTTTACGCGCTCTAATTAGCTTCCACTAAAGCTATGAGATAAAATAAGCTCTTTAGATAGGTATTTTGTTTGACGCTTGAAAAATCTTTGCGTTTTCGTGCCGTTTTTCAACCAAGTTCCAACCTTACCCTAAAGTTAGCGCGATTTCAAGCCTCAAAACTCAGCTTCTGAAGCCGTACAATGAAGTAAGCATTTGGTATGTAGAAGTTCACAAGACTGTATATTTGGCTAGAAAAAATCAGCAACGTTGAGCGTTTGTTTTGGCCACGTAGACGTCATTTCACCAAAAACACTGTTTTTAGTATTGCAATCACACCTTTATTTGGTATGTAGCTCCACAGCCTCAAAATCAGTTCTACAAAAAACCCAAAAACTTTGGCACAGAAACATCATTGTGCAAACAATGCAGCTGCTTCATGTCAAATGTTTGCGCAAGAGAGAAGCTGAGTTTTGAGGCTCGAAATCGTGTTAACTCTGTGGTAAGGTTGAAATTTGGTTGAAAAACGGCACGAAAACGCAAAGATTTTCCAAGCGTCAAACAAAATATCTATTGAAAGAGCTTAGTTTATCTTGTAGCTTTGATAGAAGCTAATTAGAGCGCGTAAATTACAGATGAACGGATGTTTTTGGAGCGCAATTACTCCAAAAGCATTTAGAGCCTTCTGAAAAAAGTAACGGTTCTTTTTTTGAACTGCACTGGGTTCAGTGTGTAGCAGATATGTCAGACTTTGTTACTGTAACTCTACAAAAAATTTGGACTCAAACGACTGCAATCTTGAATGAAAAATGGACCTTTGTTTGAGGTGTTCGTATAATTATGAACCGCTAAAAATTCGCATTAGGCGCAAAACACTCTAAGATTAACATCAATTTCCATTCTTAAGGATCATATATCGTTTTCGGCTGTGTTCTATCGCGTGGTACCAACGGCTTTTTCAATTTCTCTCAAAAAGTCCGAAAACTCACAAAATTTTGGGTGTTCGTATAATTATGAACCGCACTTTACATGTGCAGGTGGGAGGAGCTTAGGGTCAATAGGGGCGAGTTTGCCACTTTTCGATTATCTCATTTCTCCTGCTTTAAGCTCAAATTCCATACAGACCTTGCATAAATGCATGTGAGTTCATGTCTACTATACATCGGAGTATTTGTGAGTGTTATAGTGTTTACGGAAGGTGGAGTTCTGTCGAAATCCTATGTTTTCGAATTTTCGCCTCTATTTTCACAGGATTCATTGGTCATAGATGTGATTAGTATGGTCTTGTAGTGTTTGCTTTCTTCTATCCAATGATGTACAGCATGCCCTATTTGGTGCTTGTATCGAAGCATTATCTTATATATAAAGCTGAATGTCTGTTTGTCTGTATGTATGTATGTATGTATGTATGTGTGTACGTATGTTCCGAATAGAAAATTCCATTTCTGAACCGATCCGGACCAAACTTGGCACACATACACTTCGGGCCCCGGCGGGTGTCATAGGCTACTTTTGGTCATCGATCGATATCGATTTTATCGATTTTTTTGCAAAGTTTGAGCTACGGGGCTGCTAGTTGGCACAGGGGGGTAATCGAGCATGGGGATTCCGAATACAATATTGGTTTTCAGGATTATCGATTACTTTTATCGATTTTATCGATTTTTTTGCAAAGTTTGAGCTACGGGGCTGGGAGTTCGCACACGGGGGTAATCGAGCATGGGGATTCCGAATACAATATTGGTTTTCGGGATTATCGATTACTTTTATCGATTTTATCGATTTTTTGCGAAGTTTGAGCTAGCTCAAATTTTCAAAAAATCGATAAAATCGATAAAAGTAATGGACGATCTTGAAAACTAATATTGTATTCGTAATCTGCATGCTCGATTACCCCCTGTGCAAACTCCCAGCCCCGCAGGTCAAACTTTACAAAAACATCGATAATATCGATAAAAGTAATGGACGATCCTGAAAACTAATATTGTGTTCGTAATCAGCATGCTCGATTACGCCCCTGTGCAAAATCCCAGCCTCGCATGTCAAAATTTACAAAAAATCGATAAAATCAATATAAGTAATCGATAATTCTGAAAACTAATATTGTATTCGGAATCCCCATGCTCACTTCCCCCCTGTGCCAACTCCTAGCCCTGTAGGTGAACTCTGCAAAAAAAATCGATAAAAATCGGTAAAATCAACATCGATCGATAACGAAAAGTGGACTGTGACACCCGCCGGGGCCCGAAGTGTATGTGTGCCAAGTTTGGTCCGGATACGGCGGAGCCGGGTAAGCCAGCTAGTTTACAAATAATAACAAGTCGCTCGCACATTTTTATAACATATATAATCAACTTTCAAAAATTTCGCGACCCATTCTATCCCCCTATGTACTCTTGTATTTGGAATTTGAGTATATTCGATATTTGGAATTTGAGCAATCGAATGACTAATAAATTAAATTTGTACATTTGAAAAGTCGACTTGTGCAAACTGTGCAATTTTGGCAAGGATCAATTGCTTCGACAATAGCTAAAAGCGGTTCGAAGTCGGTAAAAATACACGCAGGAAACTTGCGATAATCAACTCGTGGAATTCCATCTGCGCTGGACACTTCTTCAAATGAAAAGGCGTTCGCAAAGAACAAAAATGAAATTGTGTTCAAAGAAGATTGCACAATAGGATCCAATAGATCAAAGCTGTCATATCTCGTTGCCACCAGCAGTCTATAGCCGCCGCTGGCCGCTTTTGTTCATAGTAGCAAAAAATCGTCAGATTCTTGCTATTTCGAGTAAATCCGCCCTTCTCATCTCTCCACGCTTTTTCATTCCTGCTGCCGCCAGTATGCACTTCCATCTCATATATCATATTTGCGTCCATTGTCGTTGTTATCTTGTTGACGTAGAGTGGTTATCCTGTTGGTGCTCAATTTCCCTTTTGAGTTGAATCATATTTCGCCAAAGTTTTTCGCGGTGTAATT